ATCTATCTTAGAAATGGTACCCAAAAATCTTGAAAGTAATTGGATTTTCAGAACTGCAAGTGGGTTTTTTCCAATTCACTCATGACAGGGCCAGAAGGTAATGATACATCTGCCATGATGCAACAAGCAGACCTGTCTTCTGTCACGAGTTGAAATCATAAAGGAATAAGCCGTCGTTAACAACCTCTCTCCAAACACAAGAGCTGTCATCTCATTGTTTTCCTTCACTGGCATAGGGGCTGGTGTGGGTTTATATACCCTGTCAGTTCAGTAATATGCTAAGCTTTTAACCTTTTCTGGGATTCATGTCTTGAACAATCTTCTATGAACTCTATTATGTAATAACTTCTATTTTCTTTAATCAACATTTGTTATGAGTTAAGATTAATTTTTTTAAATTTTGAATTGCTGAACTTTTTCAACCCACAGTTAAAATGATCCAATTCTAAGATTTTGTAAGTACCCTATGTTTTAAGCAGAAATTTTTCATTATATCAAATATTTTCATAGTTTTAAATTAGTTTAAATTCAATGTTCTTAAACACAGTATAAACCCAATTTTTAAAGATGTTTAGAGGTTTATATTCTTACATTTATATACATATACATACACACACACACATATATATATATATCTTTGCACATGCAAATATATTTACCAAAATACACATATACATGTATATGTATATGTATGTATTCAACTATTATTCTTTAAGAATGGTTAAGTCAATACTAGACTATTACGAGAGAAGCCATGTAACCACTGAATAAATTCTTTCTGATGGCTATTAAAAATCACTATATTTTGAAACCTATTATTCATTTGAACCAGATTAGATTTAAAAGAATCTAAAGGAATTGTCCAATTTTTATGACTCCAGATCATGAAACATGTCTTCCATATCATATCCAACATATTCTTGGCACTATATAAGTGTAATTATTTAACTTTGGCTTAAATTATTATTTGACTTTACTATGTACTATCACTGTAGTTAGTAATAGCAAGGGAAATGCCCCATACAGAAAAGAATAAGTATTTTTATTTTCTTACTCAGCATTCATATTTGATCCATAGAATTCTACTGAAATTTCCACATGATCACCTTAATTAAATCCTTATTTCTTCATTACTTAAGTCAAAATGATCTTGCATTCGTTCTAGGAAGGACTTTGGATACAGAGATTTAGACTTAAAAGGTAGATGCCAAAAAGAATACATTAACTCAGAATAGTGGCAAAAATTCCTTATTCTCTATTCCTTTGTAACGACCTCTAATGACTCCAACAACTTTTTTTGAAAGAAAAGTGTCTATTATTCAACAATTCCCTAAATTGTAAATCTGTGTAAAAAGATAAGAAAATCTAACAAATTATAACACAAGTACATAAGCACTAATGCATAAAAGCTAATCTTCATTTTGCTATAAAAAAATATGAGATAAAAAGCTAAAAGGCTATAAATCAGTTTTGGAATCACCAACATAGCTAAACTACAAGTCAATTCCCATTACAATGATCTCCAAAAGACTGTAGAAGAGTATTTCTTTAACCAAATGCTCCAATAAATAGATCATCTCCTAAAGCTTCAAATTTTCTTATAAACAACACTGAAATTTGCTATATTTCTTATAGTAAGATATGATGTTTTGTAACTTCTAGATTCAAATGGTTCCTTTTGTTAAAATCAGAAAGAAGTGACTAACTGGGTGACTTATTTAAAGATTTTTGTAAGTAGCCATGGCAATAACTGATTCTTTAACATATAGGAGAAAAAAAAGTTTTATTTTTTTTAAATATAGGTTTCTTTCCTAGGGAATGTACTAAAATTAATAAAAACTTAAGATATTTAAGGATTCAGAGATAAAAATCAGAATTTAAGAATGATGTTAATAAGCACTTCTTGGATGAGTGATTGAAAAATGGCTTGGGTTTCACCTGCTGTCCTTGCTAGAATTATAAACAAACATCAAAAGGACGCCTAAATAGTGGGAGATTAGACCAGGAAAAAAAACAATTTTGAACAATTCATAAATTGCTTGGTTAAATAAACCCTAAATAATCAGGTTTTTAAATATTCAGAGTTTATTAGATGCTACAAACATTCTTAAATATCAGAATGATTTGCTAAGAAGGGCTATGGATGTCTGTTGACAAAGGTCTGTACCAGATAACCTCAAAAGATCCCCCTTATTCTTGGGTTATATAAACCTAATTTCAGCACTCCCAATTCTACACAGCTCCCTACTCAAAAAAAAAAAAAAGAAAAGAAAAGAAAAAAGAAAAAATATATAATACAAACTAACTCACAATTATGGAATTAGAATTATTATTAGTATCATAAAATATGGACAATACTGACTAGTTTCAAAGCAATATTTACTTCAGAACAATATCTATTTTAGATATGAAACTTTATATCCTGTTTATCATTTTTGTAGGGTATAGTCATGCACTGAAGCCAAGGTAAACATCCTAAGAACTCAGTTAAGTTTTCAAATAATTGTTTTTAAAGTTTTATTCAGGAAGAGTCTTTATAAACAACAATTTCTGGTTTATAAACTGAAATTTTTTAACTCCAAGTTTGTAGGACAAGTACCTAAAACAAAAGAAACAGCCTCTTAAACGTTAGCCCAGGGACCTAAACTTACAAACTAATGACAATGTATATACACAGCTACCAAACAAAAAATAAAAGAAATAAAGGCAGGTGGGGTAAACAACCTACGCAGTTTGTAAAAATGAGTAAGTACTATACATTATTCTAGTAATTTGTTACTTTTGCCAAGGTATCATGCATAAGTTGCCAGGCATTCGAAGGAAACAACATAGGAACTGTCTAAACAATGGACTACTATTGCTCTAAGTATATCACCAGTACCATTTTGAGTAGAAAGAACAGCTCTCACCCTTCAGTGACACAAATCATTTCTTCTCTTCTATTTGGTATACTATTCAATAAGAAGAAAGGATAAGCTAAGGGAACAATCTGTTTGCCTCATCCTCCAAATCTCATCCTTATAACCTAGGTATATTAACAAATGACACACCTGAGTTCTGATGATAAGTCAAGGACCTAAGTGAATTTAAGCATATAATCAAAATACTTTATTTTAGAAACATGAATTTTTAAAAGTGTTGCTAATTTAATATGGCAGAACCCATGAACACAGATGATGAGAGAGTAAAAAAGATATATAGAAGGGTATAAAGTAATAAGGATATATATGAAAATAAATAATGACCATGGAAAGCAATTTCAAATTATTGGTTCTCCAGCAAACGTATATTTATTATTGAATCAAACGAGAGAAACTGTATGCAATGAATACAGTGCAGTCTTGGTGTCTTAAAATCTGAAGTTCAAGCACTGCCACTCTCTCAGCATAGCAAACAACCCGTGAAGACTAGAAGTTACAGACAAGATGTTAATCTGTATGAATGAAGGGATTTCCCACATTAGGAGTTTTCAAAACTAATGAAATCACCATTTAGGACTCTTTCTTCCTAAAAAAAATAGGTCAAAAATATTTGATTTCCTTTATCAAATTACGTTTCAAAATATGCACTACTTTTCTAAAAATATCTTATTTCATGAAGAATATTTTACTTAAATCCAAAGGAAGAATCTGTCTAAAACATTATATTTCAGTAAGCCCCTTCAATATTAAAGAGTATTTAGTCTCAAAATGCTACTTGGTTACCAGCTTTTACTGGTCAAATCAAAAGCAAATTCACTCACACATTTGTTCTATGTGATGAATAAAAAAGCTGACAGACAAATCAACATATTGGTACAAACCATAAAACTGTCCAAACAAAATTGTTCTTTTAAAAATGAATCCTGACCTTAACATTTAAGAGTTAATGTAAAGGAGAGTAAGTATTACTTTAAACATATCTATCCAATTTTCATTGTGAAAATTAACACCATATACTTCTCAATAAAATATGACCCATAGATATATACAATAGTTCTGAAATAAATGACTTTTTTACTCTAAGAATAAACCTTTTTAAATAGGATACAATTTCACTTTATTCTACGAAAATCTCTACTTTCGCATATAACAATAAACTCTGAGCTTCCAAAAAAATTGAGAGTTCACAGAATTTATGAATGAAGCAGTAAAACACAAGGAGACAAATATTGATATGAACAACTGCATGACAAGACGGAACAACAGAATCTTAAATATAACACAAAGAAAATATCTGAATTTTACAATAAATACCTCTTCCAAAATGTTGATTTCAGATGAATAACTAGATAAACATGTAATATATAATTTTATTTTCCTTTGTCATTTCCTAAAGGTATTTTGTTGGAGACTTGTGCAAAAATGAATCAAGATGCTAAAAGGATTTTTCTTTTTAAAGTAAGGGCACAAACACTAAAATTAGTTCTGCATTTTTCTGTCAAAGAATAAGATTTACTTAGTTTTAAACTCCAGTAAACAACAATTCATGAAAGCTTGTAGTGACTTTACTGCCAAACTTATTTTCAATTTTGTATTTATCTGCATAGATTCTGTTTCCCTTAGTAAGAGGCAAACTCTTTGAGGGCAGGAAATGTCTCATTTTTCTCTTTATATTTCCAGCACCAAGCACAATGTCTGGCACTTAATATATGCTTGCTGCATTTAAATAAATGATGTTCAAAAAAGTACTTATTGATTGGTATTTCAGAGAGATGACTATGATAAAAAAAAATTTAAGAAAAATTCAGAATGTCAAATCTTCATTGCAGAGGGAACTTTCTAAAGAAATTTTTTGGCTCCCATTGCCTTACTTTTCTTTCTTTATTTAACAACAAGATAACTCAATACAATGTTTCATGTAAGAAAACTAACTTACAATTTAAAGATCAAAATATACTTCAGGACATGTTAAAATCCTGAGCCCACACATTTCATGAAAGTGAATAAAACTGAAAATGTAATTACTAATACATAATAAAACACAACTAAAAATAACAAAAAAGAAATAATTTCACTTACATCCATAGCTCTCTTAATATAAGGTATCTGTGTGCCACTGTCCAGATCTTCATTTATAATAAGCTTTCTAGCCCATTGACCTGCCCTGACAACACCACTACCATGAATTAAAACCATCAGTTTGTCTGGATTAGTCATTGCATCCTCACTCATAAAGATAAAATTCTTTGGTTCACTCTCAGTAGCATCTACCTGTAATTAAAAAGAATTGAATAATGAGTACAAATTTTATGTTTATGCATAAATAAAAATTGATGTTATTACAAATTATAAAACAAAGATACCCACATATACTGACACCACAAAGCTGTGAAATAAATTACAATGTAAAACATTAATTTGAAATTTAAATTACATTTTTAGACTAAGAAATAAGAAAGGCATAATGAAGTCCTTTAGTATAATGTTATGAAGAAGGAAGTGAGACTCTAAATGTTGTTCTTTATTTAAACCTACAAGAAAAAAGATCCAATTGGAAGTATATTTGTAGCTGGGGAAACGAATCTTTTTTGCTAGAAACAATAACTAATGCATAATGGAACAAAAGAAAGTTATTGAAAACTTCCCAAAAGGTGACTGTCATCTAATATGGCTTCTATAATTCTCTTCTATAATATCCAGCTACACAAATTTTGTTCCCTGTTCCTTATATATGAAGTAGTTAATTCATGAATCAAAATTATAAGCCCACTCTATTGGATGCATTTATTCATTGCTTATATGATTATATTAACCTATAATTTTATGATATTCAGCACTTTTTATAAAATGTCTGATATATCATCTACTCTTACTATTCTCTTAAGGATAACTACTTTGTTAGAAGATAATTTTAAAAAGGAATTTCTCAGCCTTGTGAAACTATATTGTGACATATAAGTCAACCCAAAAGAAAAGACAATCTGAATTTTTCCACGCAAAACCTGGGGCTTTGATATGTATTTAACATAAGTTGACCCTACAGTGTAGTGTAGTAGAAAGAACGATGGATTTGGAGTCAGAAGAGATGAGTTTGAATTCTGATCATTCTTCCCCCATTTACTAATTGTGTGACCACAACCTCTCTCAGCCTCACTCTCATTATCTGTAAAGTGGATATAATACTTCATTACCTACCTCACAAGACTGTTGTGAGAAATGAGATAAAGCACTTAAAGTACTTTGTAAATTATATTATGTATACTCTAACACATTATATAAATGTCAACAGTTATTACTAAAAATATTACTTCTTTTCTTCATACCCTCCCTAATTCCAGTTTCAATGGATACTCTGATGCCACTAACTACTAAACAGGAAGACAGCTAGGGAATGGACCAGTTTCGATGTGTCACCATCTATACCACCAATTCTTGCTCTGTTGTTGTGGAGCAGTGACATCTAGCTCACGTTTACTCTATAAGTGCTGCTCAAAAATAACAACAAGCAGAAACTGAGGATGTGAGGGTTACCTCTAAGCTCACGAGATATTACTGCTTTAAAATGACAATAAACTAAGACAGAAGTGGACTTTAGGAGTCATGGTACCTGGTAAGCCCCAGACAAAACAAAACAAAACCCTAATTTAATGAAAAGTTTCAACTCTAAAAGGTTGATTTATGTGTTGGATAACATGCTATTTTTTTTTAACTTCTTCATTAATACTAATAAATTATTAGGAGAAAATTTTAGAAAAGTTTAGCTGCAAAGGCCAAAAAATACTTTTAGTTTCCAAACTTTTGTTTTTTGTTGCTATTACCACCACCATCATACACAAAAAAAAAAAAGACAGGAAAAGAGAAAAGAAAAGGTTGAAAACTGAGTTATATTTCAAACTTCTGCACTTCTCAAATTATCTCATCAGTTCTCAATGATAGTCTTGTCGTGCAGTACCTATACAGACAAATTTTTTAAACATCAACTATTTATGCTGGGCTGTATTAAAATATTAAAGATTTCTTATCATTATCTCACATGGGGAAATAGCAAGAATCAAAATAGTCAAATAGTCTAAAAAGGCAACTAGTAGATCCAGAACTCTAACCAAGCTTTGTCACTGACTTCAGAGGCAGGTTATTTTTTCAATCAGGTTAGATGATGTTCCTCTCACCAGTGGAGACAAAACTTTCCTACTTCAGAAAGCATATTAAGATGATTAATAAATGCATAATCACAAAGCAATCTGAATGTAAAGGACTCAATATATGGGAAATATTGAAGGGAAATAATGATAGTCTCATTATTAGTAACTGTGCAGAAGTAAAGGCAATGAAGCTTAGCAAAATTACATCAATTTTACATGCATTAGATATCTACAACAAGCAACAGCAGATAATAAAAATGGATATGACTGAAAACATGGAAAATAACAAAAAAAGGACAAAAAAAGATAAAATAAAAATGACTGCTAACAAAAGCATATTATACACAGAAAACTGAAGCATGAATTAGAAGACAATGAGAAAACAAACTGTAAAATAACATAGCTGTCAGTTTACAAGGTACATCAGTCAACATTTTTAAATGAGATATTTCTAGCCACTCCCTTATCAAACATGTAAAAATTATAGTATCAATAAACTTCTAATGAAAGTCAGTGAGGCTTCTAATTACTAAAATAAGAGAATTTATCAATAAGGTTCTTGTCTCTAATCCTAACTACCATTCAGTTTCTCATCTCTTTTTTTTACTACAGTCGGTCATTTTTTTTTTTTGGCAGCAAAGGACTTTGAATCAATTTGTCAAACACTGATAATACTGAGTTTATAAAGTCCAGAGTAATAAGTTTAACATCAAAATACAGTTAACCTTTTTTTTAGCATGTAAAAATATAATTGTGTTCTATTTAAAATGTTACTCAAAAAGATTTTTGAAGGTAACCAAGTCAAAATGCACATATTAATTTTATTTGAGTAAAGGAGAGCTAGAGGATGATAGACAATTAAAACATTTAATGAAGTTAAGACAATTAAAAGTAAATGAAAAATGACTTACGCATGATTTAAAGAGAAGAAAATGATTTTGAAATGATGATAGCAGACTTATTTTCCCCCTCAGTTTAATACAGCACTCTGAACCAATAAACTTGCTAACAATTACTTATTATACACAGTTTAATTGTGCTAACTTTAAAACATAAAATATTATTAGCTATGAAAATATAATGTTTTTTAAATTTCATTTCTTAACCTAATTAAATTTGGAACCCCCCCTCACCTTTTTTCCCAAACCAATTTATCTTCAAACAGTGGTAATTCATTAAACAAAGCTTTCACTAAGGAATGCACATAAAGGTCATTCTTTTGTACAACCTCACTTTATTTGCAAATCAACTTCAAATAACATTTATTCTACTCACAGTGAGACTGCATAGAGCAATTTGTAGCTGTTAATGATTCAGTTTTGAATTGTTTTGAACTATATTAATTCTGATTTTTCATCAGAACATAATAAATGAAATGTTATAGTCATGTTATTTAGCTGCCTTATTTCAGTCAATAATCTATACAAACAGAAAGTGAAATGTTAATAAATTTAAAATTTCTAATATTTTTCAGATAGTATTTTACTAACTTTCATTCAGTCTGACATGAAATTTCCATAATTTAAAAAAAATACATTTTTTTTTTAGTCTATTCATTGGTAACCAGGGTGATTTTTAAATTTAGTATGTGATATATTATGGAGGGGGAAAAACATTTCATGCAGTATTGTCATTTTTTTCTTTTGGAATTACCAAACTATATGAAATCTCACAATGAATCACAACGGATTTAACTCCAAAGATAATATGCATGTTCTTTCACATAAGCAACACTATATTTACTGCATTCTTATAAACTTAGTTCAGCATCAAAACATACTAGAAAAGCATGCCAACTGGCCCAGTGGCAATACTCTACACTACCTTTCAGGAGACCGGGTTCAATATCCAGCCCTGGTCTCTTTATGATCCAAGCCAGCAGGGCCTGAAAATGGAGCAAAAGTGGTGTTATTCAGTCCCTGAGATGGGGGACATTTGGCCTCACTTTACTCATCTGTGATGTTTGGTTAATATCCAAGCAGAACTGAGAGGCTAAAAAGGCAACTGAGAACTTTCATTGAGCTAGAAACATGGTCATCATAATACCAGGTAATGATGGGGGGAAAAAATGCAACTGGGGAAGAATATAAGTAGGAATGGGAAATCAAGAAACAAATCACCAATATACCAGTAAATTTTTAAGTGAAAATTATTAGGGGTATTCTTATGCCTTTTATTTTTAAATTCTGTAAGTTCTCAAAAAAATACTGTCTAAAGAATAATAAATAAATTTTCTCTCTAAATTGTTAAAATCTAGTTTTAGAGACAGGAATAATATTAAGATTCTTAGCCAACTGTTCTGCTTTTCTGAGAAAAGAGCTCTAAATATCTAACACAAAAGACACAAGCTACGCCAGAGAGCCTGCTAACCACCATCAGTGTATACACACAAAACCTCATTCAAGCTGGAGAAACCTCCCACTACAGAAGCTCACCAATCAGTTCAGGAGAAAAACAATGGATTTTTTTTTAAGCCTGGAAGACTTACTCATGAAATCAGATTTTGGTGTCATTTCTAGTTCTGTTATAAGCACAACAGAATATATTATGACTTGAAAATAGGAAGGACCCTAGTTTTAGGTGCTGTCTGAAATAAAGGATATTAAACCTATTAATATTTGGTTTGTATTTAGTGAAAAATTAATATCTATGAATTTACAACTTCAGGAGTCATCTCTCTTAAAATTACAAATACTCATTTTACTTTAATAATTACATTTACCAGCAATATCATTTAATGCACATTAGAAATGTGTAAGAGTTCAAAGTGGTCACACCAATCCTAACTGCTGAACTGTTAAAGGGCTCAATCATTATGGTGGGGTGGCAATGAACATGAAGTCTTTTAAGTAAATTATTTAACCTACTGTAAGAAAATTTGGACGTCCTAAATTATGGATATTGGTAACAGCTGAGCTAAAAACAATATGCTTTGTAATTTAAGGAAGGTAAACCTAGAGAAATCAGGACTTGAAATCCTGATAAATTCTCAGCAAACTTCCAAAGTTGAATACATAAACACAGTTCAATCATGCAAAACTGGACATTGGAAGAGGGAGAAAACAAGAATAGGTTGGTGATTTTTCACAGCCCTTCCTAGAGAAGAACAGGCTGAGCTGGAGGGAAGGGAAGAGTGGAAAAGGTGGTAATATCTGGAATTACCTTTGAGGAAAGCAGCTTTAATATCTAGACCTACTCTCTTATGATCAAAGCCGAGAAAGTCTAAAACTGGAGGGAGGAATGTGAACAAAAAGAGGGCTTGGAGAGATTAGTTGGGAAACAAATGTGTTTTATGCGTACAAGGAATTTGGTTTTCATGTATTTCAGAACGGAACAAAGTTGTGAATTAAACTGAAGCTTATAGTTATATACATGATAAAAGGAACCTAGCAACTAGCTAAAGGGTTGTTGAGGTTTTCTGGGCCCTAAAGAGAATAAAACCAAGTTCTTCCAAGAAAGTTTATAATGTACCATCAAATTTAAGTGTGAAAGGACAGCAATTGTTATTAAATTCTCACATCCCCCAATTTTAAGAGGGTCCATGACAAGACCTCAGTGTTCTAATACTAAAACTTTTTCCCTGTAATATGCTATTAAAATTAATTTTGAAAATTCACAAAAAAGTTAAATTTCTATTAATTCTATGAAAATAAAATGACCCAAAAGAGTACTAGGTTAGTGACATAGTAAAATCATCACTTCTTAGTTTGGTAAAATGGAAAAAACCTAGGTTCAGAATAGAAAGATTTGAGTCTCAACTCTGTAACTTGGAAGCTAGTTGGGCAAGTCACTCGACTTCACTGGGACTAAATTTCTTCACCTGTAGCAGAGATTTCATAATATTTGCCTGTCTTACAAGGTTACTGTGAGAACCAAATCAGAAATATATGTAAGAGTACTTTTTAAGTTATAAAGCACTATACACATATAAGTAATGCTGTTACTTATTAGGGCTTTTATGAGTCACAGCCTAAAATATTAGTGAGAAAGGACAAGACACTATATAGGCCAACTTCCTCATTTTACAGAAGAGGAAATATGAATAAAATTTTATATTTTACACTTTGCTCTAAAAGATACATGAATTTTCTACAAGATAGAAAAGAGATTCTCAAACCTTTGCCTCAGCAGCACAACAATGTGCAACAATTTCAGAAAAGTATTCAATTCTGACAAAAAGTGAGAGTTGGTACTGCACATCAAATAAAAACTGGGGGGAAAGCTAGGGAATGAAAGTGGGAAAAAGAGAAGACATAAAGAAAAAATATAAAAGGAAGGGGAGAAATCAGCAAATCATCTGAGAATGCAAAATTATTTTCATTCTAAAGGCAAAGAAATAAAGTTAAAGATTCTTAACTTAGGCTGTTCCTTTGAAAAATACAAATACTTGCGCCAGTCAAATGAAAAGAACAGGGACAAATTGTGGCCCAAAAGTTCATTGAGTATCTATCATTCTTTTAAAAGGATGAGAATCTCTGAATTAAAGAATAATAAAAGTGAATTACCAGAACACCCCACACATATTTTATAACTATCAGAGAAGATAATATCCAATTAAAATGTACACAGAGTAAGTTTACCCTAACGGTGTACTATTTTTCCCAAAGATAATAATGTAACATTATGTTAGAAGGTACCTTTAAAAAACTTATTCTGAATTAAGTGTCATGAATATGATAAAATCTTAAAATTCAAATATAGGAAATTAAGATTTTTATAAGTTTTTTTCTTAAACAGAAGTAATATTTGAAAATATAAAAAGGAATAACTTTTAAAAATAACTTACTGGAAGTGAGATTTTTTTCAATTTGCAATCCTTTTCCAAGAGTTCATATACATATTTAGTAATAATCTGTGTGGGGGGGAAATTGAAAACACATTAAAACCTAACGCATTCTCATCCAGTAACAAAATTCACATAATTAGTTGCTTAATTAAAGATACATATTATGAATATACATATATGGTTTATTTTACCCTTAACAACTAAGAACTAGCACACCACTGTGGAAAGAGAGCCAACCTCAAGAGTGAAGAATACTTGAGAATTCCACCTTTTTTGATTGAGCAACCCCAGGGAAAGGAGCAGAACACAGCAGAGAGCTACAGGTTCTCCTCATTTCCCCTCTTCTTTCCCTATTTTTTTTTATCATGATTCTTTTTTTACTTTTTTGATTAACTTGAGTTTTAAATTTTCTCCTCCTTCTTCCCTAAGATGGCGTGCAATCTGAAATGGGCTCTACATATACATTCCTATTAAACATATTTTCACATTAGTCACATTGTAAAAAATAATTAGAACCAATAGGAGGAACCACAGGAAAGAAGAAACAAAACAAAACAGAAGAAGAAAAAGAGCAAATATTATGTTTCAATCTGCATTCAAACTCCGTACTTCTTTCTCTGGATGTGAATAGCTTTTTACATCATGAGACTTTTGGAAATGTCTTAGATCCTTGCATTGCTGAGAAGAGCTAAGTCTATCAAAGTTAGTCATCACACAACATGGCTGTTACTGTGTGCAATATTTTCCTGGTTCTACTCACTTCACTTAGCATCAGTCCATACAAGTCTTTCCAGGTTTTTCTCTGCCTGTTTATCATTTCTTATAGCAAAATAGTATTCCATTACATTCACATACCATAACTTGTTCAGCCATTGTCCAATTGATGGGCATCCCCTCAATTTCCAATTCTTTGCCACCACAGAAAGAACTGCTATAAATATTTTTGTACATGTGGGTCCTTTTCCCATTTTTATGATCTCTTTGGGATACAGCCCTAGAAGTGGTATTGCTGGTTCAAAAAGTAGGCACATTTTTATAGCCCTTTGGGCAGAGTTCCAAATTGCTCTCCAGAATGGTTAGTTGACAAGTCCAACAACAATGCATTAGTGTTCTAATTTTCCCACATCTTCTCCAACATTTATCACTTTCCTGTTCTGTCACGTTAGCCAATCTGATAGATGTGATGTGGTACCTTAGAAACGTTTTGATTTGCATTTCTCTAATCAATAGTGATTTAGAGCATTTTTCATACGACTATCGATAGCTTTAATTTCTTCATTTGAAAACTGCCTGTTCATATCCTTTGACCATTTATCAAGTGGGGAATGATTTGTATTCTTATATATTTGACTTAGTTCTCTATATACTTGAGATATGAGGCCCTTACTAGAGACACTGATTATAAAAATTCTTTCCCAGTTTTCTGCTTCCCTCCTAATCTTGGTTGCATTGGCTTTGTTTGTGTAAAAACTTTTCAATTTAAAGCAATCAAAATTTTCCATTTTGCATTTCATAATGTTCCCTATCTCTTCTTTGGTCATAAATTCTTCTGTTCTCCATAAATCTGACAGGTAAACTACTCCTTGCTCTCCCAGACTGCTTATAGTATCAGACTTTATATTGAAATTGTGTACCCATTTTGACTTTATTTTGGTATATGGTATAAGATTTTGGTCTATTCCTAGTTTCTGCCATACTCTTTTCCAGTTTTCCCAGCAGTTTTTGTCATAGAGTGAGTTCTTATCCCAGAAGCAGGGATCTTTGGGTTTATCAAACAGTAGATTATTATAGTCATTGACTACCGTGTTTTGCATACCTAACCTATCCCACTGATCTACCACTCTACTTCTTAGCCAGTACCAATTAATTTTGACGACTGCTGCTTTATAATACAATTTAATATTCCCTATTCTTATTGCTGCCCTAATGTTTCTCTGCAATCTGGGCCCCCAGCCACGTTCCAGAAATGGGAAGTTGAGAACCCCTCTATGGAGACAGAAGAGGAAAAGCAGAAGCAATGGGGAGACACTGAAGCTTTATGAGCAGGGAATGACATTAGACCTGGACTCTGGGAATATAAATTTGGCATCCATATGAAGGTATGATTAGAAATGAAAAAGAAAGAGATGCAGAGACACAAATTAGGATGCTACTGCAATAGTTCAGGCCACACGAAGAAGAAAAGTATTCTCCCTGAGAAAACTGAAGGGGCAAAGCTAAAGTTAATACTCAAACCTAGTAAAAATGCCTGTAGCCTCTGACTTCCTCATGAAGAGATTCCAGAAAGGGCAAAAGTACTTTGACTTAGGAGTCAAGACACAGCCAAAGCTAGGAGGAACAGCAAGCAGTTGCTAAATACAGCATCGTGTAAGAACATGGTAACAGAAGACCAAATCCCCCTAACACATGATCTGACCCACATGATCCTCACTTATCACCAACTTGAAGGTGATCAAGTTAAATAAAATTTCCTGGGGCTCTGGAGAACTGGCCCCTCGGTCCTATGCAGGCTCCTGTTCCTCTCTGACTCTGTGGCTCAAGGGGTCAGAAGGTGGTCTGGGTACAAGTAAAAGCCTTTGTATGATGGGTAGCCTAACACATGGAGTCCCTCAGGTTGAGCACCAAGACCTTGACGCATTTTGGGGCTTTATTTTTCTGAAAGAGCTGCTAGGGAAAGAAAATCTTTATGAAATCCTGATGTGTGGTTGAGAAGATAGGGTTGGGTGGAGGTACAAGAGGTAATATGAATTTAGACTTAGATCTAGACCGAGATTTTGCTGAATACCCTCTTGGTGTAGTCTGTAATTCTGATAGCTGAGTTTTGGATGTTACTGTAGGAGAATGGATCTATAGGCCAGTTTAGCATAAAAATGTCTCCTCTAATGGGACTGGTGCTAAGTGACTTAGTGTCATGTAAATGAGATTATCCATCCAGATCTAATTTCTACAAGTGCAGTTCCCTGGTTTCTATAAAACAGATTGGTAGCTTAATGCTAATATAACCACTCTTGAGAATTGCTGGCACTTTAAAGTAGAGCAATAGTACAGGAACTGGGGCTCTGAATTTAGTGGAACGGGGCCATAAATGCAGAGGAACCCCAAACAGTTTGGGGAACTTTTTCAGTGTTTCAGTTAAAAAGACATATTCTCTCCCCTACCAAAAACACCCATGTTCAAGCTTTACCCCTGATTCATATTGGCTGCGGGACTCTGGGCAAATCACCACCACTCAGTGCCACAGACAGCATTATGAATTAAGTGAAAATTAAAAAGTAGAGAAGAAGTAAGGAGGTTGAAGTCAGTTTGCCTAACATAAAACACATCTGGAATGAGGAAAAAGAACTAAAAAAAAAAAAAAAGTACTTTAAGCCAGTGATGTCAAATGTAAACAAATGCATGAGGATCCCTGAGGGTTGCATACTTAGAAAACCACATTAATAATATTATCTATGTTCTATTGTATTTTTTATTTATTTTGTTAAATATATCCCAAATACATTTTAATCTGGTCTAGCTGCACTCAGGAGAGTTTCAGAGGCAATGCAGAGGCCCTGTACATCTCTGCTTTAAATTACTGCTTCAACATAACAGACTATTATTACCAATCATGGGTTGGTCATTTTTTAAAGTACATAATTCTGATAGAGCCTAACAACAGTGTGGAAAACATCTATATACTACATATTAAATACCTACAAAACAATAAAAAATGTAATGACACAATTTAAAAGGCTGAGCCATGAATACTTCTGCATTAGTTTAAATGAATGTAAAACAGGTTTATTATTCAATACAATAAAATGTAGACATTCTCTAAAAAGAAAAAACACTTGGCATCTTGGCATTGGCTCTTAAGGAGATCTATGTAGAAATTTTTACTTTTAATATATAGTACATATAACTACATTTTAAACTTGAAAGTTAAGTTATTACATAAAATATTATGCTTTGCAGATCCTTACCAGCTGGTACCTTTTATCCAGAGAGACAATCGTTTTTAAAGTTTCCCTATCTCAGCATGTTTCCAACTGTCAATTCTAACTATTTGCAATCCCATTGTGATATAACACTTTAAGAGAAAAGGCTCATTAACTGTAAATCTATGAAGTCCACTATCTTCAGTGAATTCAAATTAAACCCATGTACTTGCTTTCTCATAACAAAATTCCTCACACATTTTTGTTTTGCAATCCAGACTCTGGGGAAAATACTCAGGTTATGCATTATAAAATGTCAATCCTATAAACGCACTGATTTGAAACAGTAGTGAAAATACTTTTAAACAAATTGTGGGCATAGGTACTCTTTCCTTGTTGATAGTAAAGATTTCAAAACAAAGAAAAGCTTTTGCCATGTAACTGGCTCACAAATTTTAACCAGGTTAGGGCAGTAATGGTCAAATGAAAAACGAACAATGAATTCTAACCAACTGCCTATAGCAATTCTCAAGTGAAGAGATTGACCTGAGACCTGTTCCTACTGCAGCAATAAATTTGGTTGAAGTAATTCTACTGTGACCTTAAGGACAAAACTACAAAAAAGTAACAGAAATTCAAAGGCACATTTTGGTGTAGTGCTCTTGGTCATAGTCTAACCTCATGAGAGAGGGAAGAAGGAATTGATGAGAGATGAAGTGGGGGGGGGGGGAAGAGAGAGCGAGAGAGAAAGAACAAGTGGATTTTCTAAAGATTCTGCCAGTCTAATCTCAAAAAATCAAAAGCATTTAAAAATACAACCGGGTTAAAAAGTTCTCACTTAGATGGATGCAGTTATTTAGGGGAAAATGTCAAACTCACTGAGAGATTCTCCCTTCTAATAATGGAAGCAATCCAAAACCAGCTTTAAACCCCTGGATGACCTGGTAATAAACAGGACCTCAAGATTTTTCAAGTTTTTATTTTCATTGCTTCAGAAATTTGGAGAGGGAAGGAAGAGGACAACTTCCTCACTTTGTTTTTTGTTGTTCATTTGTTTTGGTAAATAGGTTTTGTCAATTCAACCTGGATTAATAAGATCTGACCCAACTTTTACAGGATGACCTTTGCTGACAACTATTAATTTAATGA